ATTTTATCTGAGTTAATCATAGATCAATTAATTATTAACTGAAACATATATTTTTGCTCTTGTGTTCAAAAGACAGTCTTGATATGATGCAGTCATTGCAAATCATTTTAGAAGTGATACTACCCTATTCAAAGAGCTATTTGTCCTAGAATTGTGTTCCTAGAGGAATTTTATTATACTGTGGAAACAATATAGTAGCAATGGTACAATAAAGCCTTTAAAAATAGCTTTAATACATTGTTCCATTGTATAAGAACTTTTCCTTCTGTTTGGTAAAACGTCTTGCTCTTTCATGGAGTATTAAATGTGCACATTTTCAAAGAACATCAGATGAATCCATAGACACCAAAGCACCCAAACATCTATTTTCAGTATAATTCCTTATACCTATTTGAACAAAGAGTTTAGAAGACAGAAAAAAATGTTTATCTTAATAGACTTTGTATCTTTTGTGATGGATTTTCTTTTTCCCAACTACTTTATAATCTTTTAATAACCACATAAGAAGGATTCCTTTTGGTTCATACTACACATATGGCTACTTAGGATCATCTGGAAAACTATTAGAGGTGCAGGATCTGGGTACCGTACCAAATCTGCAGTGTCATAGTTTATAAATGGAGGACCAAAGCCACAAACCCCAGCTTTAAACTTCACGAAATGTGGAATCTGAACATTGCAGCTAGGACTTTTCTCTTGCTTCTTAAATGCATATTTATATGCTACATACTGAGCTCAAGGCCAGCTTGAAGAGCCAACCGGAGGTACATAGCAAGACCCAGGCTCACAAAAGCAAAACAAATAAATAGCATAGTTAAAAACACAAATACAAAATGAAGGCATATAGGACCTGAGAATTGTGTAGTTTCTATCCTTTAAAAATACAAAGGTAGGTAGCCTAAAAAGAAAAATGGGCCTGTTTGGTTTAAGGTGTTTTAAAATTATAGATGGTAGGTTAAATATAAGGAGAGAAGACTGGTGTTTTTCCCATAATGCAGTCAAGAGCTGTGCGCAATAGCAATAATGAACTATGTTATTTGTACAAGGGATTTGAAGAGTGCTTTAATCATTGATCTGTTTTGTTTCCATAAATTTCATCCATCTAATCAGTTATGTAAGTTGACTAAATAAAGTTCTCAGGATAAAAGCTGATCCACTAATCATTCAGAAGAGTAAGCATAGGTTGACATACTAAGAAATATAATTATATGAGGGGTATTTAGAAGCTTGTTTTTTGTCCTAATCCCATCATTAAAAATGTTTTTAAAGAATCTGGAAGCTAAAATTTTCATACATAGTAGTCAAGTCAGAAGATTAACTCTGGCCACAAAACAAAATGACCAAAATTCTGATTTCCATATACAGAAAGTTTTATATTCCTACAATATAAGAGAACATTTAAGCACATGACTTCAGATTGCAAAATTAAGGGTTTTTTTTTTTGGGGGGGGGTAATTTTCTCCAAAGGAATCAAATGATATGGTTGAATTTGTCAGGTAGAAAACACTTTAAGGATAAATCTAATTTAAATAAGAAGGGTTCAACTCAAACATGTAGTGATAGTGACAAAAGATTTGAAAAGATAAAAACAGAAACTAAAAGGAATGAATGGTCCAACGCCTAGATCTAGTAGATACACAAGTAGAGTTGACAGTGTACAGAATGCTCGGTTACTTTTGAATTTCAGATAAATAGGTACTTTTTAGTGTTAAGTATACTTATATAATATGTGGTATAAACTTTAGATTATTGTTTATTTGGAACACATTACATATACTGACTTAAATTAAAAGTATTCATTGTTTATGTGAGGTTCTAATCAGGCAGCACGTATTCTTATTTGCTAAATCGGTCAACTCTCTGCATAAGGTCCTTGACACAGCCCTGTACAGCTTAAGGAAAAGATATCCAAAAGCCATAATTGGGCCAGTGAGATAGCTCAGTGATCTTACGCGCCTGCTTAGGCAAGCTTAGGCACGCACAGGGGAACGCAGCTCTGGATCTCCAGCACCACAGGCCCCACCAGCCCCACCTTCAGGGAAGGCTGAGCTGGCAAAAAAAAAAAAAAAAAAGTCCTAATTATTTTATTAATTTTTGGGAGGATTGCTAGTACTTACGTTTTGCTAAATTGTAAAAAAAAATTTTTTTTTTAATTTTTAGTACAGGGTCTACAGGGTCTCACTATACAGATCAGACTCCTAGTGATCCTTCTGTTTTCAGCCTCTCAAGGGCTGGGATTACAGGTGCGCACCCCCATGCCCAATCTCAATCACCGTCTCAGCGCGGGACAGGCATAGCGTGCTGGGTATAGAACGTGGCCACTGCATTCTGCCTAAGCAGGCACTTGAATCCACTGAGCTATGTAGCCAGCTCTACAGCAATATTTTTGTTGTGATTTTTTTTTTTTTTTTGGTCTTGACCTCCTCTTACAAAAATTAGCATGTGACATATATTAAAATGAAATTGAAATAAAATGGAATGAGGCGTAAGAGAAGTGTAGTCAATGGAGTATTACTCAGCTATAAAAAAGATAAATTGGAGGCTTTTATCAGCAAACAGATGCAACTAGAGACCATACTCATAAGTAAAATAAATCAGACCTGCATGTGCAAACATGGTGCTGTCTCCCTAGTGTAAGAACATGAAAGAGGCCAGGGAGATAGCTCAGTAGAAAAAGCGCTTGCCTGACAAATGCAGGGTCCTGAGTTCAATCCCTGGTACCGCAAAAAAAAAAAGAACATGAAAGAGTAAATAAAATCTGAAGGACACAGTAGATACTGTGAAAAGGGAATCAATCTATACAAAAGGAAGGAATTACTGAGATGAGGAGGAGTACAGGAGGGGAACGGAGGGGAAAGAGACACATCTAAGTGTGTAAGCAGGATGGCTTGGATAACTGCACTGTGCCTTTCTGCTGGTCTATAGAAAGGAAGTTAATGCATAACTATTTTTTCTTTTTTTCTTTTTTCTTTCCCCTTTTTCCCTTCTTAATTTCTTATAACTCTTCTTTTCTCTTTCTTTTTTTCAATTTTGCATGCTTGTATATGGTGATCTGAACAACAAAGTTGAAGACAACACTGCAATAAAACAATTACTGTTGAATTCATATTATTTTGTTTAGTAGAATTCTGTATCATCTCTAGTTTTTAATTACTATTTTGTATCCTCTTTAAAAAATAAAAAAGAAAGAAAAGAAAAGACAGAATACATGCAGTAAGGCAGACTAGGACGAGCAAGAATGCTGACTCCTTACTTTAGGAGACTTCTGGTACATGTAAGTTCTTCATAAATAGTTACTTGGCTGCATGGACCAGTAAAGGAGTAGTGGAAACTGAAAGTTTTATTCTGGCAACCTTTAGTCAAACTCTTCAAAGTTATATTTATACATTTTGATAAGATTTTGTTGGATTTTTATATCCCTGAAAACTCACCATCCATGGAGTCAAGAGAGATTTTTAAACACATCACCTTGAGCCATAATTCACAGAACTTTCCCATGCTTCACGTTACACGACCATTTCTACAGTCTTGCCACACAAAGGATGATACAAAAGCCACCATCACCATAAGACTGGTTAGAAAGGCTGCCTCTGGCAATTTCTATCGCCTTAGCACAGGAGGGTAACAAGGTCCCTGAGTGATGAAGCTCACATGGTTGAATATAGCTAAGTGCTTCTAATTCAGTACCAGTATTTTGTTTTCATTATGCAAGTTCATCCCTGAAAAGTTATAAATTAATTAGACCAACTCATCCATTCAACATTAACCTACTATTCTTCCAAAAGGTAAGTAGTTTAGAAAATACAGCATGCCCTCAATGTAGAATGATACAACTAGAATTAAAAATAGTTTATAGTGTGTATTAAGTTATAGTTGGACAAAAGTAATTTGCTGTTTTCTTGCACAGTTGGATGACTATAGATAACAATAATGTACTGTATATATCTCAGAAAACTAGAATAAAAGTTTCTGAGCATTCTCATCATAAACAAATGATAAATGTTTGAGGACATGATATGTTTAATCACATATATTATTTTTTCTTTTCTTTTCTTTTCTTTTTTGGTACCAGGGATTGAACTCAGGACCTTACACTTGCCAGGCAAGTGCTTATTCTGCTGAGCTATCTCCCTGGACGCCCTCCCCCCAATTTATATATTATATAATGTACACAAGTATTAAAACATCATTGATACCCTACTAAGACATATAACTATGTTTTAATGCAGCAGTTAAAATAAATTAAAAGTAAAAATTATACAGTATTTGTGCTATGACTAAAGAAATAAATGTCATTGTTCTTCAAGGAGTTGTCAGTCTTTATCATGAAATTAAGGAAGGTCATGAACAGTAATTTTTTTTTTTTTTTTTGTACCAGGGATTGAACTCAAGACCCTTGCCAGGCAGGCGCTTATTCTACTGAGCTATCTTCCCGGCCCTATGAACAGTAATTCTTAATCCACTATTTTATTTAATTTTCCTTTTGGAAGTTGATGAAAGCTCCCACGATATCCCAAAGAGAAATAATGCATGTGTCACACACTCAGAGTTTTGCGTAGAATTTGGAGATAAAATTTCCATGCCCCATGAACTCAGCAGTCCCCTCCATGTTCATACAGTCAATTGAATTTTGTCTTCTACACAGAGCAGGCATTTTTTTAATAGTCCAGTTTTTACAGCTCTCCCTTCACCATATTTATTTATTTATTTATTTATTTATTTATTTATTTATTTGGTACCAAGGATGGAATTCAGGACCTTGTGCTTGTGAGGCAGGTACTTATGCCACTGAGCCATCTTCCTGGCCACCATACAAGATTGATGGGAGGGTAAAGAATGAGTGTATTAGAGAGAACAAATGAATTTTGTCATATATTCAAATGAACTTTGCCGTGTGATACTACTGCACTTACCACATTTTTTCTGAGTAACATTACTTTCATGTGAAGAATCCAGAAAATACGTGAATAACTTTTGCACCTTTCCTTCCTTTACCTCAGCTCGCCCGGGAGGAGAGGTTTCAGTGAGAAGCACTAGAAACACAACTCCTCCTCAGATCCCCACTACATTTAATACAGTTCCGTATAGCCCAGAAAACCTTGCTAGGAATACCACAGAGGGCTTCATCAGAAACACTACAGAAAACAACACCCAAGGCAGCAGCCAGAGGAATCGCCCTAACCTGCACAGGACTGAAATCGCAGACACATCGTGGGCACCCTTGACTACTCGGCCCTTCTCCAGCACCACGGAAGAGGTAAAGGCTGGGGTGGGGGGGAGTAGATCAGGGAGCTCACGGCCTGCAAACACTCGCTTTGCTAAGACGCCACTACTGCAGAGGGGGAGCAGGCGCCTTGTAGCCTAAGCACAAATTGTGCAGGAATGCATTTTGCACAGTGAAAAACTCTGAAACTGGATTGGAATCTCTACATCTTTCTAAGGGAAATGGTGACATAACTGAACTGACTTACTGCTATGAGTTTGCTATATTTTTGAGCCAAAGTGAGAGGGATCTTGGTCTTACGTGTAGCCTAAAACCAGGAAATGTGAGTTGAAATCAGTACTTTGCAAGTGATTTTGCATGTATGTCATAATTATTTATACTCTAAGAGAGTACAGAGTCGTAAAGCAATGGTGTACTCAGGAATCACTATACTTGAGTTGAAAGCACAAAAATCACATGCCCTTTCTGCATCTATATCATCTGCGTGTGACTTGCCTATGATCTTCTTTAATCCACAAGGCAACCTATAAGGCAAATGACGGAGAAACAGTAATGATGTGGTCAGAAGAGGCCGCTCACATCATATTTTTGTTTTGAGTCCTCATCTCTTTGGTCTTGCTTTCATCTCAGTGTTATGGGTCACCACGTAGGCAACAGAGGTATAATTACAGCAAATTAAAGAAGCTCACATTTGAGGAGCAGGGCATAGTTCAGCGGCCCAGTACGTGCTGAGCACATGCCAACTCTAGGACTGACCCCCACCACTAAAATAAAGAACAAAAAATAACATTTAGGTTTCACTTGACAATGTCCGGCTATTTCCTAATACACAACCCAAATAATAAAAGCCCAGCAGCATTCATTTTGATGTCCATTTGGTGCTTTGGATTCTTCTGCATTGTGTAGGACCTAGCTACACATTGTAGGTTCCAACTAGCGAGCACATACACAATTCATTAGTAACCACAAAACAAACATCCAGTCCAGAGAAAGCCTCATGCGGCTTTGTTTTTACCTCTGCATTTCTTTTACCATGAGCTTTCCCCCATCTGACAGATTTTTTTGTGTGCCTCTGAATGGAAGTTAGGAAGACCTCATTACTTCCCTAGAAACTCTTTATTTCACTTTAAAACTCGGCACTTAATCTTTATCCGTTAGCAAAATGATCCATACCAGCAACTCAAACTTTATTTTTTTTTTCTTTCTGTATTTAGGACAGGGTCTACAGGGTCTCACTACATAGATCAGAATCACAGTGATTCTCCTGTTTTCAGCCTCCCAAGCTCTGGGATTACAGGCGCGCACCTCCACATCCAGTCTCAATCATTGTCTCAGCGCACCCCAGGGGCGGGGTAAGCACAGAACGCTGGCTGGCTCAGGCTGCCTTAGGGCTGATCTGGTGCATGTGTTGCTGGGGATTGGAACGTGGACCCCTGCACCTGACTGAGTTTTTCCAATCACGTGTTTTAGACACCTAGCTAGCTCACAAGCCCCCTCAAACTTTAAATTAAATATAAGAATTAGTTTCTCCTCTCGTCTTACTCCACCCACTTTGGGCTCAAGGTAAGGCAAGGAGAACATGTATGAAGTTTCTCACTCACCACCTAGCTTTCCACCCACAGCTCATAGCTCAGTAATTATGGTTTCAGATCTGTCTGGGCTTGGAAAATGGGAAGGGAAACAGAAGCAGAAGAGCTGTGACTTAAGGATACTGTCATGAACTGGCAATATGCTCCCCCTAATTTTCCAGCCTCTGACCCCCTGCAGCCACTAAAGTGAGATTCACCACTTACTTTTGAAAATGACAGGGCTGGTGAGATAGCTCAGTGGAGTAAGCTCCTGCTTTGGCAAGCGCAGGGACCTGGGTTCAGTCCCCAGTCCCCCATGTCATACCAGCCCTGCCCCCAGAGTGCACTGGTGACAGAGTCCGGGTGTGGTGGCACATGCCTGTAATCCCAGAGCTGGGGAGGCTGAAGACAGGAGGATCGCTATGAGTCTGATCTGCGTAGTGAGACCCTGTACCAAATACATAAATGAAGAAAAGAAAATGAATGCCTGTCGTCAGAGCATCTGCTTATTTTGTCTGATTGTACCTCAAGTAAAGCTTGCATCCTAGCATCAGTTTATGAGAGTATCCATTCACATAGATGTTAATGTATGTCATATTATATTAAGAAATATGTTAAAGGAACACTGTCATAAAATTATATCTACTTGAACACTATAAGGTTGTATTTCAGCAAAAAGAATTTTGCCTTGGTTGGACCATGGTGAAACAGGGAAATGTCTAAGAGTTGACTGGTGTCCCCTGGAATGTGTCCCAGACAGCCAGTCACAGAGCTCTGCTTTGGGTGCACCACCAATTGAGCCAACCCAGCACACTATTCCTGAATTCACATGGTCCAGCCCTGAGTTGGGTTTTTCAGTCTGGGATCACAACAATTGGTGTTGTGTTTCTTTTTTTTTATTTTTTTTTAAATTTTTTTTAT